GACGTAGCTAAACGTAATGCGGTAGTTTTGCACATGAGCACACCATTTTTCAATATCAAATCTTTCCATCACCACAAGCCTGTAACCTTGGTATAATGTCTGGTGCACGAGACAGGTCAAGCCTAGTAACTCGGTTAGTATTCGAAGAAATATATATATATATATATATATCCAATCAGTGGCTGAACCTACCATAAATATGAAAGAATGGCAGAAACGCTAGTACCCGGTCTCCTTTTCCGTCAGCGCCGCCATTCCAAGTCAGATGACCAGCCTCTCCAGCAGCCAACTGAAGAGAGTTGGCGACGATATTCCTATGGGAAAGCATGACACCCTTAGGAACACCAGTGGTACCCGAAGAATAAACCAGGAATGACAGGTCCTTATCCGGATTGATCTTGGTTTTACGATATCTGGTTGCCCCCGAAATGTTTCGGATAGACGTAAAATGTTTGACCCTGGCTTCTGGGTCGCGCTGGTCTCCAATGAGGATGATGCGGTCCTCGGGGATGTTGGCTTTCTTGGCGGCCTCTCTTACTACCGATAGCTGGGGAACCTGCGTGATTACAGCTTTCGCTCCCGAGTTCTTCAGCTGGAATGCCAGTTCTTCGGTCGTGTAGGCTGGGTTTGCCGGGGATACGACGCCTCCAGCCCAATGAGCACCCCACATCACCACCGGGGTGTCAATGCTGTTGGGAGTGAACAACGCCAAAACATCCCCTTTGCGCCAGTCATAAATGGCCTTCAATCCGTGACCAAAGGCAAGCGCTGCATCTTTCAAGGTTTTGTAGGTGTAGAATCGTTGTGTGTCGGCATCCTGGTAAATGACTGGCGAGATACGTTAGCTTCCGAATTCACAAAATTAGCCAAAGAGGGGCGGGCATACTGTTGTCATCTGGAAAGGTCCTATCCTTGCGTTCGAATAGAAATGTCCAAAGGTCGACATTGGGAATGTCAACCGGCGGATACTGTGAGGAGACCGGCATGATAACGGTGCGGGGAAATCTGGGGTTAGGCGCCGGGGGTAAATGAGGAGAATGGCTTGTAGTCTCGCACAAAGCTAGGGACTTGGCGAGAAAGGCGAATGAGCTGGAAAGAGGAGGGATATGGAAAGAAGGAAGGGAAGTTCATGAAGGGGTACTAGTAGACAAATAATAAAGAGGCAAGGAGTGAATAATCCGTCCCAACAATTGGACATGTTTCGTACTCGGCCCTCGGCTTGGACATTGATAAGCAATAACCGTCCGCATACCTTCGGATGTAGACCCGACTAAACTTTAACTCCGTTTTAGGACAATTGGTTACATCGAGTAAACATGAACACGATCTGCCTAACGTACAGTACCTCTAGTGCAGCGAACAATCATATCCTCCTAGCCGTACCGCTGAAGTATTAGTAGAACAATTGACTCTACTTCCTACCTCCTACATATATATAGATCGCGTACAACTGCTAAAGCCGCAGAGATGAGATGGTATCTGGAAATGATATCATAACGGAGTGTGCGAGGATCTTGGGACGGATTCAGTATGCACAAATATGTTAGACCGAACTCTTTGGGAGCAAGCTTCCAGATAATGTTGACATTAAAGTTCAACTTATATTTAAAAAAAGAAATTGATATGTTTCTAGCATGAAGAAAAAAATTTAACCGTCCAGGATGAGGATCGAACTCATAACCTCCTGATTAACAGTCAGACGCGCTAACCAATTGCGCCACCCAGACGAGTTGTTGATAAAGGATAAAATTAAATATTTTATAGGTGGCAAACTATAAGCGTAAAATACAAATCAGGTTATCCTCGGCAAGTTAAGCCAGGATTATAACCTACAGAGGATACAGATTAGGTAGCTTTGCAATGATCTCCGCAAAAGTCGGGTAAGGTAGAGGGGCATTAAAAAAGTCACCCACACGCAAAGGGTTGAAACTCAGATTCAAGATGGTGGTGAATAGTCGGGTTCGCCGTATTCTCATTCATACAAAAACTGGCTCGGGCAATAGCATCTTGGGCTCGTGGATGCTCGCTTCATTCTCGGCTATACAACAATTAACCTAACACAGCTCGGGGCTTCCCTTTAATTCACTTCCTATACTAGTGTACAAACGGATCTTACTGTATTTCAGCACATTGATTCTTGTACCTAGTAACCTTACCTAGTAGCGATAGATTGCTGTATTTGGCTAGTTGGCGGCTGGATTTTGTTAAAGCTAGTCTAGAGTTTATGCTTGATATACTTAATAAAAAAGCACAGACTATAAGATCGTCTGGGTGGCGCAATTGGTTAGCGCGTCTGACTGTTAATCAGGAGGTTATGAGTTCGATCCTCATCCTGGACGGTTAACTTTTTTTAGTTTTCTAACTAATTTTTTTCTTTTTGCCTCACGTAGTACTACTACGGCGCTTTGATACGCTTAGAAGACCATTCTTGAGCTGATTTACCCCCCTAGAGTCGGACTGCAGACACATCGACATAGTCGGTTTGTTTCCTGTGACAAATATCCACATGCTATGTGTATGTTATCATCACTCTGCAATCTTTGAGGCCCTTCCTGCAATTGGTTGATCAAACATTATGAATATACATACGATAGATATGAGTTGGTAGTAAATTCTGCTGGTGCAGTAAGATAGACTGAACCAACTTGATAGTGCTGATGGTTCTTCCCATGTAATATCGGATAGCTGCGCCATTCTTCATGCAGGTGGACTGAGCGACGTACGATAGCCCCGAGGAGAATCAAATACGTTAATATATTGTTTCCATGGACTATATATCTTCTTGTACACGCTTGAAACAACAGTCAACACAGCTTTTGCTCGAATAGAGTTCTACTGACATTATAAATATACCTCCGGGATATATATATTCTACTAGTCTGCAACAACATGTGTCTTTTGTGCATTCTCTTGGATTCTAAATCCTTGCGTACTTAATTCCAGAGCCACGACAGGACAATTTTGACTCTACATAGTTCTGATACCCAGGAATGATTAGAAAAGATAGGAGTTAGACGTAAAATGTAGGGTTTGATATGAACCAGAGTAAATCAGTATAAAAGTATCTCCAATCCATCTGTAATCTGTAGAAAAACAAACAGTAGCGAGTTTTTATTTGCCTGAATCATTAGTTTGCAAGCTATAAGAATGTTCCTCTCATTCATATCCTGTAGTTCACTATATATAGTGATATTTGGATAATACTCATTTACCCGCTTCGCTCGACGTGTTATCGGTGGTATGGACTCGTTTACATCCCCGGACTTCCTGTCCTGTCCAGCTGGATAGCATATTCCTGGTTGGTCTTTCAGGAAGATCCGGAACTATCACCACAACACCGACATCGAAAAATTGGTCAACAATCGAGAATATCATCAGCCTATTCCTTGATGAAATTAGTCCAGCCGGCCGACCTTCTTCGAATATAGCATCCATACTGGCCTGCCCGTATCTGTAGGAAAATATATGGGAAGCAGTCATAAAGTCTGAGTGAAACCAGTCCTGAAGTATTCGGTACCAAATAAGCCTATTCTCAGTGACGCTCTCATATTCTGCTAGATCTTCTGGATTACATGGATCATGTAGGCAAACTTTTTCTTGCTGTCCACATCTGTTCTTGCCGATAGTATGTCGCTTGACTTGCCCTGAGAGACTTTCACAGAAATATAATCGATACTATCACTGCAGATTTCATGCCATTAACAGATAGAGCAGCAACTGAGAACGCCCTTTTCCCGCTAGTGATGGGCCTAATTCGATATACCAGTGCACCGCATCAAGTTTACCAGTGGCGGCTATAAGGTAAGACCTTGCCCGCGAACTCTTTACTTTCGTCGGGTATTGTGGGAGCGTCTAAACGGCCGCATTCCTCCCCTACTTCAAAGGCATCTGTGAATCTAAGATTCCTGACATTATTATACTCATCAAGCTGGCGAGATGCTTGCTTGCCTCTGTAAATATTTTCCATTCCCATGTACCCTGTTGCGGTTTCCACTGCAGGTATTCTCGATTGTATTTAGGGTTTAGATCTTTTAACCAATCGCCTGTAGTTAACCAGAACTTTTCGGATAAATTCCTTATCCTCGGGATCAAATGTAGTATAGATATTCAAGTTGAAAAGGACTTTTACAGTAAAAACAGCCCCGCTGGCTTGTCGGGCTGCCTTCTTGACCATTGTGCCCTGATTCTGATCCGATAGTACATCGTAGGATCAGAATCCCAGACGTTGCCGGTGTTGTAATAATCTGGCTTTCGATTGGACCTGCGAGAGACAAAAAACTACAAAGAAAAGAGAGGAAAGGGTGGATAGGGCGAATAAGTAGCTCAAAGAGCTGCCGCCTAGAATAGTGAATGGGTATTTGAGATGAATGCTAAAGTCCCGCATAACTCGGAGGGATATTAAAAAATTGGATCGACGTAAGCTTTCGTTATATGGGTTTGTAACCTATATCAATGGCACTAATGTATGGCGGAGGGGCTAATGATATAACAGACTGGGAGACAGCGATTTACCAAGTAATATACTTACCCCGCGGGTCTATGGTCGATGTGAAGTCCTGTTTTACATTTTACTATTTTCCTTCTCTAATTGTATGTGTATCCATTGAGAATATCGACAAGAGCGTTCATCCTATACACATGCTTCCACTCATTCAGACATATAGCCATACATGAATATTCCTATTATGACCACTTACAGACACAGCGAGTAGATAGGCCTGGTGGTATAAATAGCCGAAATGTAGAGTAGTTTCACCGCCATAATTCACAGAATACGCTGGTCGTAACAACTTTGCTTATAGCAATCCTTATCCGCACCCTTTCTTCTACGGCAATCGTCAGATACTACGCCGCACGAGACCTCTCTTGACGTATCACAACATATCAAACTTCTAGTAACTCGGTTTAGCTTGCGGCAGGGAGATATCATGAGTGGAAATTTGGAAACGCTGCGCACTTCCACGAAGAATGCTCTATTCAGAAAATATAGGAAATTTAACCTATATTGTAGCTTCTACTAGGCATCGTTTCCCATATGGCGACATAATGAAGTAGCAGATTTGTTCCATATCAGAGTCGCTCATGTTCTCCTGAGTTGAAATCTTTGCGTCGGGGAAGGAACGAAAGAAATGCGCAGCACCGAGGCGAATTTCTCTGAGAGCCAGATGTAGACCCAAACAGACTATACAAGTATGGTAAGTATATGTTGTAGTTGGAGAAAAAAAAAAGGTGCTTACTCCGAGAACCCCCGCCAAAGGGCATAAAGGCATGTGTCATCTCTTTCGTTGTTGAGGTCCAACGCCAGGGGTCGAACCTTTCGCGCAATTCGTCAGTGCCAAAGCAACGATAATACCATGATCTCAAATTCGCACGGGCTCTGGGGATACACACCTTTCGGGATGAGGGAATATATGAGGATCTCGATGGAGACTATAAGCCTGCGTAGATACCGTCACACTACTTGGAATCCAGTATCCACAGAGATTCGCCCCAGGACCTGGGGGATTTCGAGGCCTGCTGGACGGATTTGTGGCATATAAACGCAGGGTCTCCCGTACGACATTGTTCAAAAATGGTAGTTTCTTGAGGTCATCATCACCGAAAGTTTCCGGAAGGGTGTTCAACTCTAGTAGCAAACCACTTTTGATCTTTGCATCTCGGCAAACCGCCCACACGAGGTATGTTAGTGTAATGGCTGTATTGTCACTACCACCAACTATATACCCCTGTGCTTCACTTCCAAGGTCTATGTCCGATAGTTGATCCGAGCCCGCATGGAATAACTTGGTAAAAAGGGTAGGCTTTGGATTGGCGGCGTCCCGGGTGACTGACGTTTTATAAGCCAGGAGTGATTGATCCGCATACTCTGCGATCCGTTGACCGGCTTTCATTGCATTCCGAAAATAAGGCAAGGGTAATATGCCTGCGAGTTGAAGTAACATGGGGAAGGCCGATCCGATCATACCCAAGCGAGGAAGGGTCTCTAAGTCGGCTGCTAGCTGATTCTTCTACACAAGAGTTAGCTTTAGGACTGGATGATTTATGTCAACACTAGGCTTAGAGGGAACAAGCAAAATAGGGCAAAGGAAAGGAGAAGGCAAAGGAAAAGGAGAAGAAGAAGGGAGAACATATAAATCTTACCTGACCGCGTTCAAGCAACTGAAATGTGTGACCAAAGGTTAACTGCCCAATAAGATCCGTAGACATAAAATACCACCACTTGAATATGTCTATCGACCCCCGTGACTTCATCTCGTGTCGCATCTGTCGTATAGCGAGTTGGATGTTCACATCTATCGTTGGTTGCATTGACTGGAGGGATGCGTCTGACATGGGCGAGGAGAGTAGGCGTCGCCGGATGCTATGAGCCTTTGGGTCTCTGACACTAAAAATATTTTTGACTCCGTTGATTGTCAATTTGTCGTACCAGGCAGATTTAAGGAACCCGCTGCCGGACTTATACATGTCATGGACAACATTGATGTCGCAGATATCGATCTCGTCAGGCGCCACCCGTACAATCGGGCCTATGAAAAGATGAATGATTTATTATGAGCCAAGGGCATTAAAGACATGGAAAGAACACTAACCGTATTTCTTGTGTAGATTATGAACATATTTGGGTCGGTTTCCCATGACCCAGTGGTACTCGGCGACAGCCCCAGTCCATCGGGAGAGCCAAGGCCCCGGTACCATTGAAATAGGATCATTGTGAACAGTCCAAAGTACCTGATATTCCGAGGATTAAAATGGGACGAGACAGTGTGTCTTTAGAATGGGTAGCATACATTCACAAATGTCACCAGAAAGATAGTGAAGATAGCGACAAGAACGGGGTTAACAGGTAACTCGTACATGTTGAGCAATATGGTACACTCATGGGTTCAACTCAAAAACCATTATTTATGTTGCAAGAAAGTTCTCACTTATATCTGTTGTTGTGATCAGCGATCAAGAGGAAGCTGCACTACCCTGTAACATGAGATACAAGAACTGTACAATTCTTGTTTAATACATAATGTTACTATACACCGATTATGTACAGTACTGTATTAGTTGCTTTATAGGAGATAAAGTTTCTATAAAATACGTTTCGGACATCGCTATCTGTGGGCCAACATTCTTTTGGTTTTGCTTACATTAAGGTTCTTTTCAATACACAATACACAATTTTCTCATGCAAGACACAGAAACACTACTCAGTACTAGTACAGCTGAAGTACGAGTAGTTTGAGTAGTATACCCCCGTACATCCATTCCCTTTTGTGATACACCATATACCATCTGATGGATTCAAATTTGCAAAGCCTGGTAGCCAATGTTCACGTGGCTCATAGTACTTTTACTACACGAAATCCATTTTAGAGATATCCATTGCAACCTGGCACCTTTACTTGAATCCCCGTGCTTCGTTTGCTTTATTCTATTTTATCTTTTTTTTTTTTTTTCTCATCCAAGATGGCAGTCAATACACTCTACGGTCCGGAGACACTCTCACAATTTCTATCTGTTGATTTCGACTATATCATTGTAGGTGGTGGGACCGCAGGACTACTTCTCGCCGCTCGCCTGACGGAAAATCCCAACATACAAGTGGGAGTCATTGAAGCTGGAACCTCGAAAAAGAATGACCCGAATGTTGACGACCCAGCTCGATTGGCAAGAACACTCTATAATCCTGAGTATGATTGGCTGTATAAATCGATTCCTCAGGTAAGCTTCCTATGCTCTGCTATGTTTCATGTGTGATACTGTGCAAGGCCTCACCTCCGATCAGGCTGGAACCAATAACAAAGTCCATCATGTGGCCCGCGGTAAGCTTCTGGGAGGATCCAGTGGTATCAACTACATGGCGTACTGCCGGCCGGCTGCGGAGGACATTGACCTTTGGGGAAAACTGGGAAATAAGGGTTGGTCATGGAATGAGCTTATGCCATATTACCTCAAAACCCAAAGATTAGAAATGGCGAACAGTACGCAGGCGCTCCAAGGGCAGGCCTTATGCCCTAGCCTTCCTCAGTCCCATGGTCATCGGGGGCCAATTTCAACCTCCTATCCCCGCCGACGGGCTCGCTTTGAGGACAAGATCATTCGTGCATTTGATGAAACATCAAATATCCCAAGGCCACAGGATCCGTGGAGTGGAAAGCCTCTGGGGTTGTACGACCATCTCTCTACCATTAACCGCGATGATGGAGCAACTAGAAGCTATGCTGCATCGGCATTTCTGTATCCCTACTTTGAGCGGGAGAACCTGAAAGTTCTGACGGAGGCCACGGTATGCAAAGTTCTCCTCGATAAGCACTCTTCTAAGGCAAAAGGGGCCGAGTTCTTCTGTTCTGGTACGATGCATCAGATTTTCGCAACTATGGAAATTATACTGTCAGCAGGGCCAGTGCAAAGCCCACGCTTGCTCGAGCTATCAGGCATCGGCAACCCAGAGCTTCTGCGGAGAGCAAATATTGACTGTATCCTACCACTATTGGAAGTTGGGGAAAATCTCTGCGAGCATCCAATGACATCCATTACGTATGCGCTTGATGAGACTAAGTCCTCCAAGAATAATCTTCACCTCTCCCAAGCGGCGTGTGATGATGGCATGAGCGATGGTGTGAGCTTAATGGCATTCCTGCCATACTCCAGTTTGGTTTCTCATAAGGAGCTAGAAGAGACCGCTCTAAAAGTTACCCAATGCACCCAGCTACTTGAGCAGGAGCGATGGAGTGTGGTTGCACGATTACGGGATCCTATGTCTGGTGCTCTTCAGTTCAACGGGACTACAGCAGTGATAGACATTGGAGTGGGGCATATGAATCAAAGCAGACTTGTTTCCAATACATCGGCCCATGAACACACATACTACAGCTTCCATGTCACTGTTACAAGCACACTATCCCGGGGAAGCACCCATGTGACGTCTCCAGATCCTTTTGGTGCACCCGCTATTGATCTTGGGCTACTGCGTGACCCTGTCGATGTGGAACTGCTCTCTGCGGGACTGGAGTTTGCGGATAAAGTTTTCTCATCTAGCCATGTCTCCGAGCAGGTTGTGACTCGAGTCATTCCAAGTCCTGACGTCGACCTCAGAGATCGACAACAAGCCAGTCGGTTTGTTCGGGATTGGACCACATCCTTCAACCACATACTGGGCACCTGTGCTATGGGTCGCGTGGTGGATGAACGGCTGCGTGTAAAGGGTATATCTGGCTTACGGGTGGTGGATGCGAGTGTTATTCCTACTCAGATTAGTGGAAATGTGATGGCTACGGTCTATGCGGTTGCTGAGAAAGCGGCAGACCTCATCAAAGAAGATCATGGCCTTTCAACTACAAATTGTTAGGTTAGCTAAGAAGATTACATACACATGGCTGGCAGGTATTCTTTTTATTCATTCTGATGGCTCAAAGGCTGTTCAGGCCATGGAATTTGGATTTTATGTACCATTGTATCCTTTATTGAAAGAAGTTGCGCGATCGCGTAATCTCCAGGCCTGACCCGTCCACAAAGGACAAGGCGCTCGGCTTCTCCACGAGCACAGTGACTTCATTGTTTCCAAATTCTACAGTCACAATCCGAGCTATGAAAGTTGCAAGAGCCTCTACACTTTGAAAGGAAGAGCTTTCGACGCGCTGGAAACGATCTTAAAGTCAGCAGTGCCTCAAAAGCGATGGTCAAACTCATGTTAATCATATACGTACCTCAGCGACATGGCGAACCAATTCCTGATAAGTGTCAACAACCGTAGAGCTCCATTCCTGGAGTCCATGTCCCTCGAAACTCAGGGAAATATCGACTGCTTGCTTTTCAACCCTTTCCCATGGGTTGATACCTAGTATGCAGTAACATTGGACCCCCCGGATCTCAAACGTCTCGCGCAGAAGAACTAGTCGCCGTTCAGTCACATCCGCTACCTTGCTCTGCATGGTACCTAGGGCAAAATTGCTGCTGTATAGCAGGCCTCTGTTTGCGCGGAGAATTGCTTTCGGGAGTTGAAGGCGTACTTCAAATTCACCGTAATCTCCACGGACTGCCGGGGAAGACGCTCCCTGTTATATGATTAACATACATGTCGAGAACATAGTAAGCCAATGGGCATTCTGGAACGAAGAAATAGAGACCAAAAAGCAAGTACCACCGCGAAGAGAACGAAGGGGAGTAAGGCTGAATGAGATAGGGGAAAGACGCACAGCAGTTTCTTCCAATGACTGTAGACTGCACATGGCTATGGTCGCTGCAGCCAGGCGAGTATCTTCAACAGTCTGTCCAAGGAGCCGATCTTGCAGCGGCGTTCCATCGGTAGCTATGATGCAAGTTCCGAGCTTCGCCTGGTCGACGCTCTCAAGCTCTTTCACTATCCTGCGAAATAACTTGCCATAATCTATGGTTTGACTGACATCATCCGCATCTGCGGCGCTCACGGAAGAGGCGTACGAAAGCCTCACGGATGCACTACAGGGCTGCGGCTTTCCAGGTCGATGCCATGGATCAGGAGCTGTGGGTAGTTGAAGTTGAATATTACGAAGTTGGATGGTGTCTGCTATTGTCGGACGAGATGAGATGTGGATAGACTCTAGTTGAGACATGGCGCTTCTTTTCCGTTTCAAAGATGAAGACTTGGATCTGAGATGCCTTCGCGGTGGTGGTGGTCAGGGATTCTATATTACATACATACGCTTTTGTAGGGATCAAATCTTGACCAACGCGATAGATGATTCTAATTGAACAGGTCAAATGGATCATACACACATACATACATATTTGACCACGTCACTTTTCATTTTTTTCTTAGTAGCTGGACAAGGGTCTCGACAAAAATATCGTTGTAATACAATCTTACACGTTTCCGTGTTTTACGACACTGTATCTTGTAAAAACACGTGGTGTATTTTTAACAACCTAATTGAGATCGGAGATCGGCGATCGACATTTCCAGGCCCCGAAAAGTTTACACTCATCGGAACATAGTGGGCGGCCTCCTACACCGATCCTACATTGTGTGATGTGATTTCATATGCGCCTCAGTCATGCCCACCTGCAGCCCAGTCAGCTAAAGCTACTTAACTGGCCATGACGGAAACCAGAGGAAATCCATTTCCTAGTTAGAAGAGATCTATCTGTGCAGTGGAAACGAATTTTCAGCCATGCAGATCTTTTGGAAGGACCCCACCAGTGAAAGTGCCTACGACCGTGCACGCTGTAATAGTGTTTTCAATTTGGAGAGGCCCAATTGCTTCCCCCGAGCCGTGATCAATGCTACATGTACGGAGGATGTGATATCAGCCATTAAGCTGGCAGCGCACCGGGAGAGATGCCAGGTTGCCGTCCGATCCGGAGGCCACTCAATTTTTGTCTGGAGTCTGCATGAAAATTCAATCCTGGTAAATCTTGGCAACTGGAAAGAAATCGTTGTGGATGCAGACTCGAAAATCGCACAGGTGACGACTAGTGTCACAGGATTCGAGCTGAATCACTATCTGCGCACAAAGAATCAACTCTTCTTCCCCACGGGTCATTGCCCAGATGTTGCACTTGGGGGATTCCTGTTACAAGGGGGCCAAGGGTGGAACTGTCGCGTAAGTGCCTTTCTCGTACTACTCTTTTGCATGCCCCGCTGACGACCCGTAGAATTGGGGGTACGCCTGTGACTTGCTTGTCGGTGTAGAGGTTGTCACTGCAGAAGGTGATGTACTATTCTGCAATCAGCACGAGAACCAAGACCTGTTCTGGGCGGCTAGAGGGGCTGGACCTTGTAAGTGCCCTGTGGAGCATCCTCGCCTCTAGATAAACTAACCAGGGTCTGGTCAGTGTTTCCCGCAATTGTGACCAAATTTCATTTACAATTGCTGCCGGACCCGACTGCGGGCCTTCGGTCTTCTGGCTACATTTATCCCGCCAATATGTATCGCCAAGCATTTGAGTGGGTTCAATCTATCATTCCAAGCGCTGATCAGGACACGGAAATTGTCATGGTAGCCTTTTATTCCGAGTCTAGTGGCGAAGTCTGCTTCAAGGTGAACTTTGTCACTATGAAGGCGAATGCCTTGGCAGCTGAACATGCGCTCAAGCAGTTGCATCAGGGTCGACCCCCTGGGACAATCACAGAGTGGGTCTCCCAAGAGGGCAGTCTAGATGATCTGTTCAATGATCAGCGCCTGGCCAATCCACCCTCACACTATTATTACACTGACAATAGCTACATTTCCAACATGGTGAATGTTACTGAGGTACTGGAAGAGTCCTTTTTGACGCTTCCCCCGGGCAAGTCCTTCGCTTTCTGGTATCCCATGTATCCCCGAAGTAGACAGCCTAAGTCAGACATGGCCTTAAGTGTCCCATCAGATCATTACTTTTCCATGTATGCAGTCTCCGAAGACCGAGATGACGCTAGGCGATGCAGGACGTGGGTGGAGAAGACGATGAGAAGAATCCGGGAATATGCCGTGGGATCATATCTAGGCGAGTGTGACCTAAAGCTGTCGCATGATTGGTACTGGACAAAAGACGCTGCCCGGCGTCTTACAGCCATTCGTGAGAAATGGGATCCTGACTGTCTGTTTTGCACGGTTCATGATAAGCAAGGGGAACAGGGTGTTTAGACGATCCTGCAAGAAGAAAGCGACTCCAACAGGGGTGGGCCTTCTTCGGGTGTATATTGCCAAAATTTTATTGATAACCACATGCTAACTACTCTGTAATGTATCGTAAGCTGCAGGGTTCACGGCGTATTCCCCCGGAAATGCGCAGGACCAGAAATTTGTAGAACTTTTGACCTCTACTGTGGTGTAAGACAAGACCACACTGTGAGGGCACTATGGCCAACCCGCACCTTAGCAGGTGACGTGAGTCTATGCATTGTGATGCGATCATATCCTATTCTCGGAAGGATTAGATATATATTATCCCAACAAGAGACGACAGAGCTCCTGCGTATTAGCACTAGTCATCAAGATTACCTGTTTACAGAGTGGACACAATGGCAACCATCACCCAGCCTGTTACCACAGTTTCCAGTGCCCATCCTACGTTTGTTCCTCGGGGACCAGTTCAGGTCGAACTGAACTTTTTTGAAGCACCTCCCGATGGCTCTCAGCCTTTCCAGTATGCTGAGGAGCCCCCTGAGGGAGTACCGGCTGCAAACTACGGGCAACCTGCACTGCCGGTCTCTCTGACTGATATCCGCGGAAATGAGAAGGACTATGATCTCGATAAGGACGCCTTCCAGGCCCTTCAGAATGTCTTTTCAACAGTGCCATACGAAACATTTCTTTCCGATGAAGAGGTCAAACGAACCTTCTACCCGGAAGTGGAGAAGCTCCTTCTGGACCAGGTAGATGGTGCCCACCGGGTCATCATCTTTGATCATGTCATCCGGATGGAAAAAGAGAACACGCATCGCAAGCCACTTCACACCGCTCATGCCGATCAAACTGCACGAGCAGCAGCAGCCCGGGTACGACTCTATGTGCCAGACCAGGTTGAAGCCCAGGAGCTCCTCCGGGGCCGCTACCGCATCATCAATGTCTGGAAACCGCTGAAGGGTCCCGTGCAATCCTCTCCATTGGCCTTTGCCAGTGGATCCTCTGTTGCACCAGAGGATTTGATTCCTATTGAATTTCGTCTCCCACATCGAACCGGTGAGATTGTGGGGGTGAAGTTTAGCGCAAGTCACAAATGGATGTACTGGTCTGGAATGGAGGCTAACGAATGTTTACTGCTCAAATGCAACGATTCGAACGAGATGGTAGCAATGCAGGTGCCTCATTCCGCATTTAATGACCCAAGGTCTCCACCTGGAGCAAAAGGTCGGGAGAGTATCGAAGTCAGAGCTTTGGTGTTTGGATGATGTTTCATGGAGTAGTGGGAAAGTTGGGGGATCCCGGTGAAGAAAGACTATGTACGTCCATAGCTGTAACGTAATTGTCTTCCATGTAATTAATGCGGTAAGGTGGATACCGTGAAAGTTTAACTACAACAACATAACCTGTTCAGATTAGGAAATGCTCTGCACGAGCTGAGATATGCAGCTGACAATGATATTCCGTAATCACGCTGCGTTAGTCCCATGCATACGTTTGAGGCATGTCTTTGTATGTAACCTGGGAGGTGGGAAAAGGAGGAAAAAAAAAAAAAAAAAAAAGAAGGCGAGAGAAAACAAAGGCATTTGAAGGGACACACCAAGGGCATACTATGACATCAGTAACTAATTGATTGCTACACTTGCGGGAATTATATCTGCTTTACTATCGCAACAAATCTGTACCCTTCAACTGTTGGAAACAAACCCCCCCACCCAACAACAACCGGTTCGATTACATTACCCCAGACACAAAAGGTCAATATGGCAGTTGAAGGATTCTCCGAAACGAGGTTATTTATCAACGGCCAGGTAATCCCACATCCTACATATATACTCGAAAGGTTCTACATCTTTAACCAAGATTACTCATAGTTTCGAGCCTCCTCAAGTGGCAAGCAGTTCCCAGTTTACAATCCCGCAACTAACGAAACCGTCGCGCTAGGTAAGCGCTCAGATAGATTCTATGTTATTCTTGGATTTTCTGATTATTGGGCCCGGCCCTTTCCAGTACATGAAGCGTGTGAAACGGATGTAGATGATGCCGTAGCTGCGGCGAAAGCTGCATCTCCGTCATGGCGACGTCTCGGGCCTGCTGAAAGAGGGGCCTATCTTCGCAAGTTCGCGGATCTCATTCAAGACTCCCATAATGAACTCATGCGAATTGAAGCTCTTGCGACGGGGAAGCCAGTAAGCCAATTCTTTGAGGCTCAGGTCGCTGCAGACTTCTTCCGACACTTTTCTGAGGCCGGTTGGAATGCTCAAGGCACGACAAGTCTTAATACTCAGGACCATCTGAATATGTCGATCAAACAGCCCTATGGAGTAGTGGCTTGCATCACTCCGTGGAATCTGCCCATCCTTTTATTTGCATATAAGGTGGCCCCAGCGCTTGCTGCCGGAAATACCGTGGTCCACAAGAGTAGTGAAAAATCACCGTTGGCAGTATGCTATTGATGTTCCTTGTTCTTCTATATTGAAGTCCACTTCGCATAGGGAAGATCACTAACTTGAGATACCCTAGGCAGCATACTTGGCCACACTTGTGGAGAAAGCAGGATTCCCACAGGGGGTGTTGAATATGATCTCCGGGTTTGGCATGCCAGCCGGTTCTGCGCTAGCATCTCATATGGATGTTCGCTGTCTCAGCTTTACCGGTTCCTCCTCCACTGGCCAGAAGATCCAGGTTGCTGCCGCCAGCTCCAATATGAAGCATGTACACCTTGAACTCGGTGGAAAGTCACCCGCCTTGATTTTCCATGATGCCGATCTGCAAGCCGCTGCCGAGCAAACAGCATTTAGTCTCTCTTTTCTGAGCGGACAGAGCTGTATGACGAATTCTCGCATCTACGTAGAGGAATCTGTCGCGGAGGAGTTCCTGGCTTTGTTCAAGAAAGCGTTCGCCTCTTCACATTCAGGCAATCCACTAGATCCTGCCACAACCCACGGGCCTCAGATTGACGAGCACCAGTGCAGTCGCATTAGGTCTTACATCGACATTGGCCGGCAAGATGGTATGCTCAGCATGGGTGGAGACTCCGGCCCAGGCCTCTTTGTCCAGCGTACTATTTTCGAAGGAGTACCAGAGGACTCCCGACTAATGCAAGAGGAGGTATTTGGGCCAGTAGTAGTAATCAACCGCTTCGGTAATGAATCGGAGGCTATCGAGCGAGCCAATCGATGTGAGTTTGGGCTTTACGCATCGGTTTTCACCAAGGACATCAATCGTGCGTTGCGTGTGTCGACGGCGCTTGAGGCTGGAACAGTTGCGATCAACTGTACTAGTCCATCTATGGCGATGGACATGCCATTTGGTGGTTGGAAAATGAGCGGTGTGGGCCGCGAAGGATACCTTCACAGCATGGAGAACTTCCTGGAAACGAAAACTATTCTGATGCGTGTTAAACCCGATGTAGGGGTTCCCCTTTGTCATTGATAGTAGAGATCCTCAATGACTTTAATTACTTTTGCACATTATACGATTTTCTCTCTTTCTCTCTCCCTCCCTCTCTCTCTCTCTCTCTCTCTCTCTCTGTGTCTGTGTGTGTGTGTGTGTGTGTGTGCCCACGAATGACTATTGATTTTATCTGTCCCGTAATTAAAAGCTCACCCGTAAATCACCCTACGGAGAAGAGCACACCAGAAGATATCGGTGAAGGGATAAAAGTTTAAGACACTTCTTGACCCAGCTGAACTCCTGGATCATCCCCCAGCGGTGCGACTAACAGGTAAGCTGAGATTTTTCTGACTAGTCTAATAATCTAGCGAAGTTTATTTATTCGCTTATTGTGTCGAGCTGATCCTCACTGTTTTTGATTTTTCTCCGCGATCTCCTTAATCCTGTCTTAACTGATTTTTGTAAGATTGTATTTTTCAAAGCTTCATTTCACCCCAGCTGTTTGAAAGTCTATCCGTATTCTGCAATGTACAGTAACCAACCCACCCCGCTGCGCAGTACCGGAGTAGTCGTCACTGTAACGAGTAATACAAGTAGGCTGTAAAGTACTGTAAACCCACTCTATAAAGTTTATATAACCCTAACTGCTAAATCAAAACTCAATTAGTATGTTAAGAACCATAATGTCGATATTATGGAGATCACTACAAACATAGACCGAGTATGAAAAATTCATTTATTTTTACCCCTAGTCTCATAGGATAGTAATTGCGAGCGCCATGTTGAATGGCGTGCTAATGCTCCAGGGGGTCACCTGCTGCCCATACGCAGCAAGGAATGGAATCTCTCCTCTAATTGATTGTCCGTTTTGAAAACCCCTGTCTTGCATTGGGTGACAGTCACTGCCCCCGATTTCTGCACTCCCCTCATCGTCATACACATATGAGTACATTCTACCACGACTGCGACACCCTCAGGATTCAGAGCTTCCTCAATAGCGTGGGCTACCTGTTGGGTGAGTCGTTCTTGCACCTGTAATCGGCGAGCGTAGATCTCTGCGATGCGAGCAAGCTTGGAAAGACCAATCACACGACCATTGGGAATATACCCAATATGAATCTGTTAAGAGTCTTTTAGTTTTTCTTAACATGGAATGAATATGTGGGTATGCAGGGGCGACATACGCTACCCGTAAAGGGTACCAGATGATGTTCGCACAAACTAGATATTTCAATACCCTTGACGAGGACCAGTTCGTTATGGTCGACCTCAAAGATTGCCTCGTTTACGACATCTGCCAATTTTGTCTCGTAGCCTTTGGTAAAGAAGGTCATTGCCTTGGCGTAACGTTGAGGGGTTTTGAGGAGACCATCCCGACTAGGATCCTCTCCAAGGCATTCCAGGATTGTTTTCATGGCAGCCACAATTCTCGCCTCTGCCTCTGCTGGTTCCTGGCACAGGGATTTTGATGCGATTCGGACTAAGACAAGTAGGTTAGGGCTGATGTTCTGACTTGTTAAAGAAAGAAAGAAAAAAAAATGGTAAAAGAACAAAGCATTATATGGATATCAGATCATTACCTTCTTGCTTGGTGGTAGCATCTTCACGAAGCGATCCCAGGGAGCCAGGAATTTTGCATTTGCCTGTAGCTATACTACTGCCATTTGCTGTCGGTTCCCTTATTCCAATGGCAGACGTATTCATCTCGAGCGACCCCAGGCGTTTCGAAACCCCGTTCTGATATCTCTCGGTATCTTGGGAAATTTGTGTAGCCATTGTCATTCAGGATCAAGAATATAAGACTGGTGTAGATTAAACGGTACGCGGGGAGGACGATACAACGAGGATAGACAAATTGATATTTCGAGATTGCGGACTATAAATTCAAACTGACGGCCGAAACGGGGATAAATATTTTGGTCTTGGAGAAGCTGTTATCACACACCGCTGTAGTATTACAAAGTGTAGCATACTTCAGCCTCGGACCTAGCTTTATCGACGGCCCTAGATAGCTTTTTGCCATCAATTTGCCCCACAGCTAACTGCACAGTGATGCGGAGTCCATGTGTGTGTAAGTGCTTTACAAGCTGCAGTCAGGAATGAGCCTGCGTAAGCTGTCTCTGTCCTATCGTTGGTGTCATGTGCACTATCGGAGATCTATAATGCATTTAGTAGGCATGCGACATGCATATTTGTAAAGCAAAGAGTGGTGTAGTTACATCGTCTTTGCCGCACCCTCAAGTGGCTGGGGCTGAAGCTGAAGCTGAGGCAACACCTGACTTGCATGGAACCCACATGCAATATGGAGATCAATGACAGCTCCTACCAATAGCACCATGACACGATCATATTTGCAGGAAAGAGATCGATGGGACTCAGACCCTGTTTTACGCCTGGTATTGAAACTTCACTGGTCATTTCAACTACATCGAGTGTGAGTGACATTTAACTATGCGAAGTCTGAGGGGCTTCGAAAATGAATGGCTAACGAAGTAATATAAAGCCCCAGTTGATTTCTGTTCGCGTCTGAGTAGCTCCCCGTTCACAACCTTCTTTGAATCTTTAACATTGCTGTGTCTTCTTCGTCTATCTCTATCATACTTATACGTCCATAAGCACCTTTGAGTACTCCATTAGATACTGTTCAGTATGACCCGGTACCCTGAGAACAACTCTAATTCACTAGGGGTACTTCAAAATCCCGAAGCGAACAAATTTTTTGACAGTGTTGTCCAAGGTCTCCCTCCACAATCACGGGTCCTCTCTGTAGGGTGTGGAGCATCTTTGCCTCTTCTCTCCAAGCATTCCTCTGCACATCATGAGATACATGGAATCGACCGGTCTCAGGAGTCAATCGATCTCGTCAAAAGCCAGATTTCGGGACATTTCAAACTGGCTAACGAGACGGAATATGTGCCACAACTTACATTCAATGCTATCTTGGCCATACTTTCCCTCTCTCATCTGAGCCGGGCACAGATATCCTCTCTATTTTACAAAATATCTGACTGGCTACATCCCGGTGGCTCCATGATTCTGGCTACATCACCAAGTGACCATGCCAACCACTGCGTGCATAGTCATTCATTGCAACTGAATGGGGGAATGACCCGTTCTACTCTGCTGAACCGCAAGGAATGGGTGACATTATGTGGGAAAGCAGGCCTGACCCTTGAGAGCGAGGTGCCTATCTCTGTAAATTCTGGGGATGCGCACAAGCACCATACCCTTATGCATTTCCGCAAGACCGTGCAGTACTCAATGCTGGGACCATACCCACTTCCTGAGTCTTACAGAGGGCCTATTCCTCTCAGCGAGGCCGCCTGGGAACCTTTCGCCAAGCGGTTAGTGCGGGACGAGTTTGACTTTGTTCTCAAAGTGTTGGAAAACAATCAGAAAGTACTAGATGTCGGATCTGGATATGGAAGTAAGTAGCACATCCTTGAAACATGAAGGAGCCCTGCCGCTAACTAAGAGATACCAGAGCTACCCATGGAACTAGCTGCAAGGACCGGGAAGGCATACTCGATTGAACCAAATGCTGACCGCAACAGCATCCAAGCGACTAATGCTCGCAATTGCGGGGTTGAGATCGCGCAAGGGTCGGCGGAAAATATCCCTTATCCGGATAGCCACTTTGACGCGGTCGTGGCAATGTGGGTGATGCAATATGTAGAAGACCTGGGGAAGTCGCTGCATGAAATTGTCCGAGTGACCGATCGCAATGCAAAGAACTCCCGCATTGTGATTGTTCAAGGCGCTCCTGAAAATGAAATTGTTGAATTACAGAACACGGCTTGTGCGCCTGTGAGTGCATCAAACCCACTCCCCAATCACCAGGGATATCTCTTGCACAAGGCGGTCCAGGTTTTTACTGAGTGTGGGTTTGACGATATCACGTTTCATCGGGTTGATGCGTATTGTGAATTTTTGGAAGAGGATATCTCTGTCCGATGCGAGAAGGCCGCAGACGTGGTCGCGGGACTCTGGTGCTTGAATGATGAACGCTATGAAGAGATGAAACAGGCCCTAATACCAAGACTCAGATCTCATTTCGAGGATCGCCCACACGCTATAGGAGACCAGGTTGCCGTTCTAGTGGCCAAACCTCGGGTCTCAAATTAGTTTACATAGATCCAATTTCAGCTTCTGATTCGTGTATCTTGCTCCTTGCATTCCCTGTTCCTTCCTAGTTCCCCTTGGATAAAGTCTTCATCATGAAGTATGCACCTAGGCTACTTTTTCTATCCAAACCTATGTACAACTATTGTGCACCGCAATCTAAAAGGCTGTCGCGAAACTCATTGGCTACACCTGTACACGGTACGAAATCAGGGCATTCATGCTACAGAAATTGTACTCTTTATTTTTAATGTACCTAATGAGATGTCACTGTGCCATGTGCAAAATTTCACCATTCCTCCAACATAGCGACCCTGCCTTTTTCTCCCCCCTCCAGCATTATTGCTCTTCTTACCCTCAGGACAGCATCTGTAGAGAACGCCTATTCCTACGGCTCTTTCACATGGTTTCCTTGGCCCACGGAAAGTTGTCACGGCTTCATTCCACGTCGAATGATGAAATAGTGATGGTCCGGATCTCTTTTATGTGCCGCGATGTCTGGCGGAGAAAATTGGTACGAAAACTCCGTCTCAATCTCGAATCCCACGTCACTGAAAAGATGTTTCCAACCACCTGTTGTCGCTGCAGATCCGCAGAAGTCATGCCCCATAAAGTACATGGGCTTCTGATCAACCCATTCGGCGGATTGGTCGTACATGGATCGATCCTGAAACAAACAATCGCTGGGGATGGTAGCGAGGACAAGCCGGCCTCCTGGTTCCAGCCACTCGAAAAATTTGCTAACCATCGAGTGTATCTGGGAACGGGATATGTTGAACAACGAGAAGATGGCAAAGATGCAGTGGAATTTTGTTGCAGGCTGGTACTTGGTCATGTCGACTTTCGTAAACGCTCCCTTGACCTGGCGGGACGCGATATCAATCATGTTTTGAGAGATATCAATGCCTATCACATCATGCCCGGCTTCGGCCAGCCTGTAAGACACGGGTTTTCCTGTTCCACACCCGACATCAAGCACACGGGAGTTGGGCTCAAGCAGATCCAGCGCCTGGTCAATAACCTGGTGAAGACTGGGATCATGAGCAAAGGTGGCTTCGTAAGTTTTAGCGATATCATCGAACATCATCTCTGCTTCGGTATCCATGATGGCGGGGTGCAATTGCGAGCGAGAGAAGACAGGGAGTTCTATGGCCGTAGCAGCAGTAATGATAATCTTGACTTAGGGGCGGATCTTCTTCCAAAGTAAAGCAACCATAAAGAGAAGCGTATATCATAGTATTCGCTCATCCGCAAATGGGCTTTTGATCTTCTTGGCCTGATCTTGGCACAGGCATTTCAATAATGCCCTGAGTACACATGATCGGTGTACTCCGTTAGGTAAAGCTAATATAGAATTAGGCTTTTCCTCTCCCCGCTTTCTCCACCAATGCAGGAGTGTGTTGAATTCGTGAGCTGAGGTGAAACATGCATTAGACCCCCTGTGCAGCTGCAGATTGAATCTTGCAGAATTCAGACGCAGATCTCGCATGTGTAGTCACACTGCAGAGTACATTGTGAGCTATACAACGCATGCTGACCTATAGAGAAATCCCTCATTTACGTTATAGTTTATAGTGTCACTGAATCAATAGAGGATTCGTCACCATGCATCAATAGCTTTGTATGTCGATGGAAGAAAGTCCCCACAGTCCCGGGAAACATTAAAAATACACTGGCATTCTAACTTTACGGTATGTATGTACTGACTCGCTGCACCATAAATACCGTAAAATACGTTACGCATACCCCCTATTACCTTCCTTTTTTTTTTTTTTTTTCCCAATACAATGTCCAGTTTACAAATTTCGCATTCTCTTTAGCTTGAACCTATCTCCCAGTGATTGTGTACGAAGCACAGTAGCCCCCTACGGCCAGCGACAGAGCGTTGACCGTCTTTTTGTCAAAGCGTGCCTTGCTGTCTACATTCGAAGTAACACTTCTTCACCCAGCGGCGGGTCATAATGTACGACGCGCCTATTCCTCAGATGTCATGGGGCTATAGCTGGCGGTCATCCACAGGATTCATTATAGCCTGCATTATCATCGCCTTGTTTGCAGGTAAGACTTTACCCGGTCGCTCGTGGCTTCTTACAACCTCCATTATTCACACGATGAGGGACACATATCTCATGATATCTTAGAAAACTTCCTCTATGGCTTTGTCGTGCCAATACTTCCATACATTCTGGAGAACCGAAATCATGTCGAGCCTTCCGACACCCAGCGCTTGACATACCAAGTTCTCACCATATACGGTGCTGTGGCAGTGATATCGGGCCTCCTTATTGGACATTGGGCGGATCGAATCAAATCCCGAAGGATCCCTCTGATACTCGGGCTGGGAGTAGCCTTGGTGGGAACAGTTGTGCTTGCTACAGCTACCAAATGTACGGAAGTGGTACCTGGACTTGTGGGAATTCATTGATCTAACCATACGGTAATTAGTGCCTGGACTTTTCGTCGGACGAACGCTTCAAGCCATTGGTGGCACGACGGCATGGATTGTCGGTTATGCCACACTTAGGGACACAATACAAGCCAAGGATATGGGGAAGATATTCGGATTGGTGAACAGCTTCGTTAGCGCCGGCGCCCTGTCTGGCCCAGCAGTAGCGGGATCCCTGCTTGAGTTAGCCGGTTACTGGGCGACCTGGTCAATCGTACTAATCTTGCTCCTCTTGGACATTGTGATGAGACTTGTCATGATCGAGAATCCAAGCAAAAGATCAAAGAAGGCCAATACTGACAACGGTGAGCGTGGAGCCTTGCGTGATGACACCCAAGATCCCAGCAATGCACCATGCAGCAGGAGTGGGCAGATAGACAGTATGACTGAGGACACTGCGTTACTTGCCACTCCTCATGCGCAGCTCAACAGATCTACAACGTCTGGAAAAGTCCAGGGTGTCTCAGCTGGATCCTTCTACCGAATTATCCTGGGACAGCCGAGAGTCATTGTTGCGCTGTTGAGCTATATGACACATTCCTCCCTAGTTGCTAGCTACAACACTACTCTTCCTACCCATGTAAGACAAACATTTGGGTGGGGAAGTTTAGCTACTGGTCTTTTGTTTGTCGGTCTCCAAGCCCCAGCGATTGTTTTCAGTCCCATCTGTGGCTGGCTACGAGACAAAGTGGGTACCCGCGTGCCAACATCCGTAGGCTTCATACTCCTAGCCCCGCTGCTCTGGCTCCTCGGGGTTACCGATCAAGTGCACCATCATTGGGTTAGCTCCAAAGATCAAGCCAGTCTACTATATGTCGTGTCGATCATCACCATAGGATGTGTCCAGAATTTGCTGACAAGTGTCGGTACGATTGAGATTACTTGTAAGAGACAGAAACTTTCCGTCGCTCTACCATGTTGCCTCATGATATATAAAATGCTAATCAAGTGCGCCACCCAAACAGGCACGGTTGATGAGTTGGAGTCGAAGCATCCAGGGATATTTGGTCCCAATGGTGGGTACTCGCGCGCTTACTCACTGTCCAATATAAGCTTCACAATGGGTTTACTTGTTGGACCACTTTTGTCGGGGTCTTTAACAGACGCCTTTGGATATTATTACATGAACTCGGCATTGGGTGGGTTTGAATCAAATTCCACGCTTATATTGTAGACACCTGTTGTGCTGACTTTTCTTGTAGCATGTATTTGCGTGGTTCTGTCACTTCTGACCATCACTTTCTTGAGGGGAAAATCAATCCCACGGAGTTCTAAGAGCAACAATGTAGATGAAACACTAACTGCCTAATGTGCATGGTCTGCTCGGATGTGCTATTACTGAGCTCCATGCCGCTGTGGCAGAGTTTCGGGTGTGGACATGCATTGCCGTGATAAGACCTTGAGCTTGATTTTCTTTTTTCTAGGTTGGAATTGATTATATACAGAGAACAAAATAACCATAGTACTACGTATATGTATTCATTTTTTTTTTTCTTCTTTTTTTACTAGGAGTCAGGTATACTGTATAGTTTTTGAATTGGATCATCATTTAATCTGTAACACATTTACTATAATTACCCGAGTTTCTTTCTTTTGAAAACTTAAATTTACTATAGAGTGATAAGACCAAATAAAAATGACGATCATATATAAATGTCTGGGTGGCGCAATTGGTTAGCGCGTCTGACTGTTAATCAGGAGGTTATGAGTTCGATCCTCATCCTGGACGTTTGTTTTTGCTTTTCTTGTCAATTCCTTAACTAGCATTTTTATCGTGTCGATAAGTGCTACTGCTGCATATCGTATTCCTACTTTACGGTTGTGCAACGTGGACGTGGGCTCAGTCTACGCGTCGTCATTAGGAAGGAGGGTTGTTCGTTGTGGAGGAGAGCAGATGTGGAAAATTGGCCAAACATGACCTGGCAATGGTACGGCTGGAAGAATAGGAAGCCGTTTGTTCCACTAAACTTTGGCAGCAGCAATTGAATCGGATGTTGGTTCAACCGAGGCTGGGGAGCAGCAAGTCGCTTGAGAGTGACCGATACGCTCCTCAACCAAGCCCTAACGATCTCTTGAGTGCTCTTTAGTGGATTCAAAGAACATGATCGAGTCTAAAGGATACCAGGACAACCACTGAGCAAGGCTCATTACAGAGGGAAAGAGACCAACAAGTATATATTGCGTCCGACGGCTATGGAGGAGTGGAACCAAGCCCCTACCATTGTAGCACAGGGCCCATGAGATGTGCACGACGAGGTTGGTTCTACGGAGTACTGCTTGAATTGTCTCAACTGTGATTCAGGGCAAATTCCCTTGGTTCCCTTATTCGGCGATATGTGCCAATGGAGATAATAGGTAGTGGGAGAATATAGAACGCTGGATATGAACTAGTCTGGAAGGTGAATTCCGTTTCTCTCTCTATTGCTCCTCTGGGTTCGAAACCATCTATTTAGTTCTTCCAGTTTCTCCATCCTTTTCTATTTTTTTTTTTTTTCTTTTTGTTGCATATTCTGTTCTATGAGTAAAATTTTCACAGGGGCAACCAACATTACACTCAAAACAGCATACATTCTCCTCCAAGTATGGGTTAACTAGAGCAAATTCCTTTGTCAACTGGGGAGGGAAATAGCCACCCAAAGGAAATAAACTTGGGAATTTATAGAGAGCCTCGAATGTAGTAGAATTTTACCTAGTTCTGAAGGATAGCGATACCCGCCATAAAGATCAGGCATCCCGACTATGCTAGGGCAAATCCCCAACGCCATCAAAAAGTGTTTGTATACTTGTATACTCTCGGCATAAGAGTCTTCCTGGCATACCTGGCTCTATGCCTACCAGATTTCCTGTTCGAGAAATCAAGAACGTGATTATAATAGGTATTAAAAGCACCAGAGTCCGGAGTTCATATCTTAATAATGTGTCCAGAGCAGATTCGATACTGAATGTTTCACACCTGTGGCACTCTACTTCGACAGTACGCCAAAAGCCCCCATGACCCATCACTCCTACTACTGGTTAGAGATGAGATATAGATATACTGTTTGTTGAGGCACCGAGGTTATACACATGAGCAAACTTCTACCCAATCTTATTAAGCCCTGGCCTGTCACGTTAATGTCTCTCTTCAACTAGCCTCCTACATGGGTGCGGACGCTATAGGGTGCCGGGCTTCTTTCAAGTAACTACTGGTGTATGTACAAGTTCTCAGTGCCGCAATGGACTGAGATAGTTTGAGCCACCCATCTAGCTAGCTTGCTCTTTAGACATCGACTTATGGATTATTGTGATCAACAATATATTAACCCTCTGAAAAGTTTCAACTCAGCAAGCTATGTGATGCAGGGCACCTTTCCGACGCAGCGCACGAAACTCGATTTGCAAAAGCAGAAGAACCACGGTGCTGTGGGTATTGTTTTTCTCTTGTTGTAATGATAGTGACCAGTTGAGAGTCCTAGAACTAGGCCGTGGTCATCTCACATAGGGATAGCTTTCTGCTTTACTTTCATCCAACAGCCGGGCTTCTACGAAATGCATGCATGCGCATTACTTACTCTATTTTGATAATACCCTGATAGCAAAAAACTATTTGTTACGAAGCAAAAAAGAAAGACGTCCCAGGTGAGGCTTGAACTCACAACCTCCTGATTAACAGTCAGACGCGCTAACCAGTTGCGCCACCGAGACGACCGATGGGCTCTTGGCTTAGTGTCTTCCATTTTATTCCAATATGAGTATTGAAGCTTCAGCAAAACAAAAAAAAGAGACGTCCAGGATGAGGATCGAACTCATAACCTCCTGATTAACAGTCAGACGCGCTAACCAATTGCGCCACCCAGACGACTGATGGTCACCCTGGCGTCATCCTCAAACTGTATGGAAGTGACTTTATGAGTAGGTCAATCTGCAGGACTCTGGTTATAAATCACCCAGCGAGAAGCTAACCTTGCAACTTGGAGGCTCTGTTTTTGCTTTCTCTTTGATACCGAATTTATTGAACAGGATGCCCCAGAATGTGACAACTTGAGTACGCATCTAGTTTATGATCTTGTGAGTGTCCTGTGATACATACCGCGATGAGTATATGAAATGGACCTTAGTATAGCCCTAATACGATGCCGCTGCAAGACATGGCCAGGAACTTGTTCTAACCTTGTCAACAATGGATGTACTTTTGGTTCAGTGCAGAAAATAAACCTTCTCAACAGTGTGCTCGTATATTTAAGAGTGCCCTCCCTCCTTCTAAATCGAATCCCTACTTGGTGAGACGACAACTGTAGCCCTATCTTCCAAAACTGAGCATTCGTCTCCTATTCAGTTGTGACTTTCTACATACTCAACAGCTGTTATACATTTATCAATTTCTCTAAACCGAGGGCTTGTTCAACTAACTATCTACAAGCGGTACGGCGAGCGAACGACATTCTGCCATGGATGGTCATGTTAGGTGAATGAAGTAAATAGCTGCTCTAGGATCCTGAAATGTGGATCAAAAGTACGGCCACCCATCCGGCCCTTGCTGGCTACCCTGCTTGCCCAGAGATTTCCCTCTTGCTAAGCATTTCAGTCATTCATGTCTCGTTTGCAGGCCACTCGGCTTATTATCACTGGACTCCGTCTGTTGCACTCACTGTTCTGCCCTTCTTTTTATTCCGCTCCGGCTTGATACTCTTTACTCGGTACTTCATAGTATTGAATCCATCTTTGCACTTGACATCAAATCGTCGTTTGCCACTATGCCCCGGCCCACGATTGCAGGGCCCCTACCAAGGCAGAGCAGTTTCGTCTGACTTTCTATTTCCGGGGTATATCGACCCAGGTCCGTAAAAGGCTTTGCTCCAAGAAAAAGACACTCTTCCAGAAAGCGGGATGACCTCTGTCGGCCCCACTACTACTACTACTACTACTACTACTACTACTACTACTACTCCTCCCTAATAGCCTGAAGCTGCGAAGGATAGACGGGAAGCCAGCAAAAACAAAAAGTTAACCGTCCAGGATGAGGATCGAACTCATAACCTCCTGATTAACAGTCAGACGCGCTAACCAATTGCGCCACCCAGACAAGTTGTTGCATTTCCGAAACACTTTTGGCATGATAATCTAAACCAAATAGAAGCGATGTTCTAACTTAGCAACCGAGTCCCGATTTAATGACTAGGAACATAAACATTGACTGGAACCGCCGCCGCTTCTTCATTCCATAGTTCATCATCGCATTACCTTGTTCCTACGTATGTTGAAGCTGATTATAACCAAGAATTCGCAAAACTGTTAACTTCCTTATATGCGATGCATATGTGCCATTGCCATTGTCATGATATCTGCTCGGTTATTGCTGAGCGAGTTTAGATATGCTTTACTTTTCTCAATCTGTTACCGAGCCTTCACGCCGGGCGTTGATCTCACATGAAGCTGGACATATTGTGTGCATCCAACTTAGATGCTTGACCCCTCGCTTACTGACCAATCACACAGTAGAGATTTAGAGTGTAAAAGGTATATAAACCAACGTCAACAAAAAGCTACTGCCCCAAAGGCATTCGGTCAATTTGAAACTATACAGAGCAGATTAGCATGGTCCCTGCACAAGGATGGCACACGCTAGTAAAGGAGATGCTAAGCTTTTTTTTCCTGCAGCGTTATCGACCATACTTGGAGGTAGGGTGCTTCGGTGTCTTCTATACCTGCTCAAGGGTTCGAAACGAGAACTGGACGTGGCCCTTTTCCTTCCCGCTTCTATACTTGGGGGTTTTGGTCGGCTGTTTGGAAACCCACGTTATAGAAGCTGCTTAGCTTAAAAAAGCTACTGCCTCTACCTGAGCTTTGGGGCGTCGCACCCTCTTGAGCTTAATGTGGAGGTGTTTTTGCTTCCTCGACGCTTCTGGGGTGGTGAGACTCTTTTGCCTTGTCACCATGACTGAACATATCGCCAATACCCCGGCTACTAATAGTATCTAGGCAAACAGTGTTACAGGTAGTTATACATTCAATATGCAATCATCTATACAGATCTATTGAACCTCACTGTACATGTATCGCTGTGTAATCACATCAGGCTTGTTCGCCCTCCAATCTCTTGACTACTCTCGCCGTTAGGCATCTCGCCATTCCGGCCAACCACGAACTCGCGGTATATCGCCTGGAGTCGCCGTCGCTCTGCTGCACTGAGGGAGCTACGTGTTGTGTTGAGTGATCGCTCCATGTGCTCCCATTTGATAATAATCTCTTGACGAGGCTCTTCCGGAGTGATCTCGTTTGCGGCAGGAGTCGCGGCGTTAGTTGTGCCTTGCGCAATCTGCCGCTGGCGTC